TAGTTTGGCATGAACACATCTCGCCAATTGCAACAGCTGCTATGAAAACTTAGATTATGTGCTTAGGCTGAAAATAACTTTTATCTCATTGTACTCTGTACAAAGCTCAGATAAGTACTAGTCTTGAGTACTGCTCACATTTTCTGAACTGTCCCATCGAGACGTTGAACCCAGTGAGCAGTACTCAAGACTAGTACTTATCTGAGCTTTGTACAGAGTACAATCATTGGCGGTCATTGGCGTAAGAAGTAAAGACAGAGTATCTTAAAAATAAATAAGAAGATCTTTATTAACATTGGCTTCTGATTCATGGCTAAGAATATTGTCTGTAATAATGGATGAATTTAATGTTATGCCGTTATTAATTAATTATAATTTGACCCTAAATTCCAGAAAGTCCCAAAGTTTCCGCTTCACTGTAAGGACCAGCGGTTCTCATTCCCTACCAGCTACGTATCGAACTGATTTTATCCACAGTAAATGACGGTTTGGGAGTGTCAGAAACTCAGCGCCGGAAACAACCTTTTTTAATGTTACATTGTATTAGAATAAATAAGAAAATGTTTATAACCGTTGGCCTCTGATTCATGGCTTGTCTCTTATAATAAATAAATTGAATGTTATGCTGTTATTAGTTAATTATAATTTGACCCTAAGTTCCAAAAATTCCCGAAATTTCCGCAACACTCTAAGGACCAGCGGTTCTCGATCCCTACAAACTACGCACCAAACTGATTTCATCTGCTGTAAATGACTATTTCTAAGTGTCAGAAATTCAGCGCCGGAAGCAACCTTTTTTAACATTACAGCCCCTGATTTGTTTAGTTCCTAAAACATACAGAAGCTGTTTAACACTTCCTATGTAACTTGAATGATTTACCCCACTTCTGAAACTTTCCACTCAATCAATCACTGTCATGTGTGCAAAGAAAGGGCAAAGTTTGTACAAGTGAAATACACGTAGCCCTCCAAGATAACTTCCGACATGAGAAGGTAAGTCGAGAAATTGGTGTTAACCACTCCCTGTTTGCCATATATTTATTTTAAAAATTTTTGGTATTTGTAACTCAGCCATCAATTCTAAGGGAAAGTATATTGCTGATAAAAAAACTATCAAGATTACTTTAGGAATATTGTTGTTTTGTGGTGTAACGTGCCACATTTATGTATTGATTGAATTTCTGACTACAAAGAGAGAATTTTGATGTTTTTTATGGTTACTGTTTGGGAAATTGTTGGATTGAAAAATGTGTGAATTTGAAGTATCCCTCCCCTCTTATGTTTTAACATTTTTTTAAATCTGTACCTCAGAGCCAAACTAGGTTGAATCCATAGTGATTTTGTAAATTTTCACTTGCTACTCACATCGTCCGCCTACCTGTAATAATGAAAATGTTACAACCTGATAAATCATGTTGAGTGACACACTGAATAAAAATTCTTAACACTATCATGGAACCTAAGATATTCAACTCGTTTAAGTCAAAAATAGACTTAATCTAGTCAGGCTCTGGGGTACAGAAATTGAATGGGGGTCATGTGATTCCTCATTTTTAAACTCCTTTTTAGCATTAGTTGAGGCCGTCTGCCACGATACGAAGTTTTTTTGCTGAATTTAATACGCTTTTTGTACAAAATGAAGGAAATAAGGCAGACAGCATTTAATACATAGTTTTGTATGAAGAAATTTAGTGCAAAATTTTTCAGAACCTGATCTAAGTTATTTGATATTGAAGGTACGCAGAGACATACTGCGCATTTTGTTTGCACAGTGGTCGCTAGAGATGCTAATCACTTGAAGACTGGATTTGGATTTGGGATAATCAGTAGTTGCGGAAAACCACAAAAACAACGGACAACGAACGAAAGCCTAGACCACGCTTATGAGTTTTCAAAAAGCACGAAATAGCTGTCCACGGTTGGCTGTGGCTGTGTGCGATCGTACCAACCAGTTCAAGATGTACGAAGTTCGACTCGGTTAGGATGAGAGGTCGAAGTCAAGCGGGTCTGTCAGGCTCTTCGCGCTGCGTCATCATGGCGTAAGGGTCTCAAGTCTGTCCGCTATAGAAGAGTCCAGCTGCAGAACTGCCAAAACTTTTGTCTCAACAGAAAAAAGCAGTAGTAATTTGATCATTATTTATTTTCCATGTTATCACACCAATAGAAACAATACCGACAACGCTGCCCCCGCAAGACACGGCGTCGAGTCTGTTTTGTATTGAGAAAGCATTATAATCAACCAATTGTGTACTCGTCATTTCCGTCGCGACCGCAGCGTAACATTATGCATGGGCCACTTGAAAAGGGTCTGTGCACACCTTCGGCACAAGCTTGCTTTTGTCTCTCTCTCTCTACAAAATCAAATGCGCGATTTAAGCATAAGCATGTGCTGCACGTAATACAGATCCGTACAGATCTAATGCGAAGTACGATATCTGATTCGTCGGTCGGTGCTCGGTCCTCGGCGGTATTGGCATATTGGTCTTGTCGCGTGACGCGGCTTAAAATTTGAATGCGAAAATTTTTTTATTTAGTTATTTTGGGTCTTACGTTGAGTGACTAGTGACGAACTAACTGACTGTGGCTGTGTAGAAGGGTAGTGCAAGACAATGGATGTGGTTTACAGACTTATCAGCGTGAAACGATTCTGGAAATACACAGGGCGTTAGTCGGGGCAAGGGCTATACGCGGCATTTCGGCAGGGAGATTTACACCAGAAATGACTGGATTTGTGGGTGCAACAGGAAGAATGCCCTTTTCTGCTTTCCTTGCATACTTTTCGGCGGTGACAAAGCTTGGACGGAGGTAGGTGTTACAGATTTAGTGCACCTGAGTGAAAAAATTAGGAAGCATCACACATCTACATAATTCGATTGGCTTTATTGGGGACTGTTAACATCAGAGCTCAGTTTGATCCAGCATATTGGAGAAATATACAACAGCATAATGATACCGTTACAAATAACAGGTACGTTCTATCAAAAGTAATCGATTGTATAAAATTTTGCGGTGCATTTAAATTGGCACTACGGGGCCACGACGAAACCGAGAGCTCCCAAAACCCGGGAATATTTCGTGGACTGATTAATTTTTCTGCTGAGCTTGATACAACCTTAAGCGAACACATAAAAAATGCTTCAATATTTAAAGGAATATTTAAAGGAAAGAAATACAAAACGATCTACTGGATTGTATTCTTGAAGTTTGTCATGAAGAAATAATAAGAGAGCCTCGTATTTGGCGATAATAGCAGATGAAACAACGGGCATTTCGGGGAAAACCCAACTGGTAACAATTTTCAGATACGTATTTAACGGCGAATCAGTAAAACGTTTTTGGAATTATATGTATCCCGAAAAATGTGACGCTGATACTCTCACAAGTCATATTTTGAGCGTCGTAGATCCATTAATAGGAGCTTTCCCTAACAAACTGTTTTCACAAAGCTATGATGGAGCCGCGGTAATGAGCGGACATAATGCTGGAGTACAGGCAAAAATAAAACAAAGATTTGCTCGCTATGTGCATTGCTATCCGCATCAGTTAAACCTGATTATATCCCAAGCTGCTTCCGCAAATGCTCAAGTTCGGGTGTTATTTGGGGATTTGAAAGATATTCCGGGATTTTTTAATAATTCTCCTCAACGCGTAGAGGTACTGAACAGAATTGTGGGGAAAAAATTCCCCATGGAGCAACAACTCGTTGGCATTTTAATATTCGAACAATAAATGTAGTGTTTGAGAGCAGAGAATCACTCATTGAATGCATGGAAGGAATATAAGAACATTTCACTAGTGAAACCGTTTGCAAGGCAGCTTGCGGTATTCGCCGTATGTTAAACGATTCTGTTTTCGTGTTTTGGTTGGACATTTTTTCATCATGTCATGCCTCACGTCGACATCTTGTTCAACCAGTTGCAGAAGAGAAAAACCGAGCCAGCGCAAGTTAAAACGACCATCGATAATTTTGAAAAATGTATTGTCGATATGCCGCATTAGAAGTATGCGACAATATAGTGAATTCTACAAATGACAGATTTCAATTCAAAGATCAATTGGTAGCCACATCCCTTTTTTTTTTGCCCGAACACTTTGGAGGATACTGTGGTAAGTTTCCTGATGACAAGTTGGAAACTACCTGCTTGGCTTATCCCGAATTAGAAAAAAGTCGTTTAAAGACAGAGTTGTCTGTTATTTATGCACGGAATGATTGCCAGGATTTACATGGAACTCTGTCTCTTTTGAAATGTTTGATACAAAATTGTTTGGAGGAAACACTAAAAGAAACAAAAAAGCTATTATAAATTATTGTAACAACTCCTATGTCAACATCAGAGGCTGAGCGAAATTTCTCAATATTGAAAAGAATCAAGACTTTTCTTCAAAATACTATGACCCAGGATCGCCCTACATTGTTGTCAATGCTGTCCATTGAAAAGGAATTTATTTCGACGATGGAAAATTTCAACGGGAACGTGATCGACAAATTTGCTGTCAAGAAGGAGCGCAGGATCGAACTGACATAAAAAATAAATAAAATAAAAAGTTCAGATTTGCAGAACACCTGTTTTATTTTGCCTCGAGCCGCCACTGAATGAGTCATCGATCAGTTGAACAGCCCTTCCCTGTATAGCATCGAGCATGCACAATGAAGTCGGGATGGCAGGACCCCAAACAAGTGAGCAGGCTATGTCTTATCTGGGTCTTGTACAATATAGTCTTTTTAACCCAAGTGCACCTGATTTCTGACGAAAATCAGCAACTGTTACAGCCTATGATGAAATGCAAATGTGAAATCATCCTTTGTACGTTCCTAACATAAGTGTTGTTGCTAAACAAAATTCAATCCTCAAGGAAATGCCAACTAACCTGTTAAATCAATTCTTTTTCAATGCTCGAATTTCAAACGCTTCTTCTTCAAACACGAGTGAAAAATACGATGATAAACAGCGTGAAAATAAATATAAATAATATATTTGAATAATGAAAATTCAAGATTATCCAAGTATAACAATCAGCATCAGAAGTTGAACTCTTATATTTTCTGACAGTTAAAATTGTATTACATTTTGATACTTTCAATAAGACACTGAAGGGTGATAATAGTATCAGAAGTAACTGTAGCAGCTATAAATCCCATCATTTCGTAGTTAACTTTGAAAAACCCAGCAGCAGATACGCTAGGTTTTCTGCAGCCGACAAGTTGAGCTAAAATGCATAATTCCGATACAACTTCTTTAGAGATCTCTTTGAGCATTGCTGGTGCTTCGTTGACGAGAGAGTAGCAGATTTTTTCTGTACGACGGGCTTCTTTTTCCATTGAGCTGCAAGAGGCTGCTAGGAGGAGTGCTTGCAACTTGAAAAAAGAAAAAAATTGTTTCAGTGCAGTCCAGATCCAAAGTCAAATTCCGCACATCAAAATATAAAATAATCAGAGTGGAAAATTGATATAACATACTATAGCGTTTTGATTATTGGTTGTTGAAAGTTATCCATCCGCCATTTTGGAAAATGGCATACGGAGCTATAGTATAGAACTAACAGCTTATGCCACAGCAGCTATGAATGTATCTCGAAGTTTAGACAACAGACACAGCTACTACAAGTTAATATGAAATGAATGATGGCTATACCATAGCTATCTAAAACTGTAATGACTCATCAATGTTCACGTGAACCTCACTCAACCACCGGTAGTCGGGTTGTCAATGGCGGGGTATGCATTTTTAATGTGGGTGAACTTGATTTCTTTTATACATGGTGTAAACGTTATGGTAGTTATTATTGAAATGGGTAATAGGGGGTAAAAACAAGTCAAAAAGTTCATATGTCCCATGGTCCAAAGGTCAATAGATTTTTGTCTAAATGGCTTTATAGTTTACAACTTTTAAGTGCTTTATATCGACCACAATCACCACAATCTTACTAATTTTCATAATCTAATCTCAAAATTTGTAGTCAGTAAGTAAGTTTCATTAAATCGAATATTTAAAACACACATGACAACAGCGCGTCGGTCATCATCTCTCTTATCGAACCTGCAATCGATCGCAAACCGTAACAGTGGTTAGTATGTTGTTTTGTTGTTGTTCGCGTACGTCGAAAAAAATTTTTAATGCGGCTGAAATAATAAATGGACAACTTTGAGGACCTAGAGTAAGAAGAAACTGGGTTCGTCGTAATGAAGCCTGTGTGGACAGTGGAGGTCGATATTTTGAACACCTTCTTTAAATACAAAAAAAGTGCAGTGTAGGTTTTAAAAAGAAAAACAATATATGTATCAAAATTGTGTTCCCTATTTATAAGCGGATTTTTTTAATACGTTCAATAAACTTTCACACACCAGGTGAAGCGCAGAGACAGTTACTGGTAAGTCCGTTTTTTTTAATTGTATTTTACGAGTACATTATCATATAATGAAATAATACCTAAGAGCCAAAAATAATCTTTATTTACACTGTGTTCCGTTCGATTTGCGTCTGGCATTGCGGCGTTGTCAGATTTTATTAAAAATGCCGTTTTGACCCCCATGTTATATGAAACTTTTTGCTTCTTTCAAGCCCCTGTATCACCCATTAAAATAATGACTATCATAACGTTTACACCCATAAGTTTAATGAAAAACGAAATAATTTGAAGGACGTTGAAGATCAGAAATTTGGAGATTACTTTTGTCAGTTTTTTTCTGTTTATCCATGAGCTAATTGAGTCTACCTCTCTTCATTTGTCGTCGCTTCCACTTTCATCTAAAAGTAATAAGCTGTCGCTAACGCTTTCTTCGCTGGATCCATCATGGTGTCGATGTTGTGGTCAAGCTGCCTTATTTTTGTTTCTTCCTTCATGTCACGCTTCAGGCGTTATTAGCTGTATAGAATTCTCTAGCAAAGCCTTGACGTCTGGTAATTTAAAAGTTGTGTTATGGCGCGCAATATAATCCTTCACTTGAGTCCAAATGAGCTCTATTGGCTTCAGTTCACAATGGTAGGGCGGTAAATGCAGTACAATGACACCACAATGACGGGTCATCTCATCAATCACGTAACTAATGTTCGCAGGTTTGTGATGTTTAATTGCTTGGAACAGCTTCGCTTTCACAAATGAATCGACAAACGGAATGCCCTTTTCGCGCAACCATTGCTGCATATCACTTTTTCAAAACTCTATATTTGGCACACTTTCGGCTTGACGACTGTGGTAGGGAATCATTCAATGCTTGCTTGTCGGTTATTTAGTACATTTTTGTCTATCCAGTTTTTTTTAACTGTATGACCTGCATTTACCCACGTCTCGTTCAAATAATATATTTTTCTGCTCGTCTAAGGGCCGGTATTATAAAAGCTGCTCTTGACCGAAGGTTGTTCAACCACCGGTTGAAATTCAACCGCCGGCTGAGAGCTGGTCGGTATTATAAAGCAACTTACAACCATAAGTTGGCTAACCGAGACTTGACGCTCGTTAAGGTCTGTTGGCTACACTGACATTTTGATTTGACCCAATGAAATGCGAGTTATTTGGCGGAAGAAACAAACGTCATTTGCCAGGAATGTCAATTCTCTATTTTCCTCCGCTATTTATCGTTTTATTTGTGAATTAAAGTTATTTAATATGTCTACGAGAAGCAAAAGAATAATATATTCAGAAGCTGATTGTCATACGCTTGTGGATATAATTATTTCTCATAAGAATATTATCGAATGAAAGAAAACAGATGCCACAACTTGGAAAGAGAAGGTGAGTGATTATTTCTATAAATTCTTAGTAAAAAATCTACATGTGGGGTATATTTTAGATAACTGCATGGGCAAAAATAGCAGATATTTATAATGCCACTACTATGGAGCCAAGAACAGCTGAACAGTTACGTTGCAAATACGATAACCTAAAAAAAGAAGTGCGCAAGCTCGAGGCTCACAAAAGACAAGCGTTATATCAGACTGGTGGTGGTGTGAGCGAACCTGATATAAAAGGTTCACTTAAATTATTGTATGCTAAAATTAATAGTATAATTAGCTTCTCAGTCCAGGGTTTAGAGCCTAGTAATGGTGATAGCGATTTGGTGATGGATGTAGTAGAGAAGGGACAGCCTAGTATGTATAATAATTTAATATTCTATAATGATTTCAGCATATGCAAAATTATATTTCAGATAAATTGCAGCAAGCTTTAGAAGAAGATATTCTATTTGATAACCTGCCAAAAGAGACAGTTGCTGAACAAAAAAATGGTATACATTGTCTTATGTTTAATAATATACTCCCTATATTTATATTTTAGATATTTTTAAGAATAGTGAATCTGAAGTAAAAGAAAACGAAATGCTGACAGAAACAAAGAAAGATCCTGAAATTAAGAAAGGTAGTACAAATCAATGGTCTGTACATTTTCCATTATTATATGAGTATATATATTTCAGACTGGTCAGATTACACTCCTAAAATGTTACGAAGCAAAAGACATAGAGTATTACAAGTGAAGAGAAAGGCAACTGATCACCAAAGTGAAGATGATAAACAAAATTTAAAGAGGAAATTAATGGAGGAGGAAGCCCAAAGAAATAAGGAATATCATATTGCACGTATGGAACGAGAAGCAGAAATCCATAAGTACAAAATAGAAAATATAAGATTGCAAAATGCAAAATTGCAATTGGAGATAGAGTTGCTAAAAAAACAATTATAAAGGAAATAAAAGTTTAGTTATACTGTTAAAAACTTGTATTATTTATTCATATATTTCATTTCTAATTGTCAACATAAATATCTTTATAGAGAACTATGATTTGTGCGCCATAACATATATACTTCAATGAAAAGGACATATACATAAAGAACAAAAAGTATAAATAATAAAACAATAATATAATTTTTATTGTGCCTGCTCTAACAAATTTGAAAAATATAAAATAAATTCTTCTCGAAAGTTATGATTTCCATCTCCAACTGGAACATTTTCATGTATGGGTTCATTGCCAATTAGAGTATTAGGATCTACTATTGGATCTGGCTCTTTCATATCGATGGCCAGGTTATGTAATATGGCACAAGCGACAATAATGTTCTTTGCAGTGCCAAGTGAGACCCTTATTCCAAGTGATAAAATAGGAAACCTTCTTTTTAATACTTCAAATAATCGCTCAATTGGGTTCCGACTTCTAATTTGTGCCTCATTAAAAAGTTGTTCACTGTTTGTTCTGGGATTTGCAATTGGAGTAATTAAGTATTTTTTTAAACCATAACCTGAATCTCCAAGCAGAATGGCATTTCCAAATTCATTTTGTTCAAGTCGACCTTGTAATCTGCTGTTAGCAAATATTGTTTGATCGTGGCTTGAGCCTGGCCATCGTGCAACAATATCCCTAATTTTTAGCTCTGAGTCACCTACTACTTGCACATTAAGAGAAAAATAGCCTTTTCTATTTCTAAAATATTCAGCATTTTCCCCTCCTACAAAAATACGAGAGTTACTTATTATTACAAACCTAGTGCAAAAATTATCACCTGGTGAAATTATTTTTATATGAGTGCAATCAATAGCTCCTACAACTCGAGGAAATCGAGCAATTGAATAGAACTTATGTTTAGTTTCTTCTATTTCTTGTTGGGTCCTTGGCATATATATAAATTCTGGAGCCAATATTGCAATCATTTTAACTATTTTCTTTACAATCTGACCTGCTGTGGACTTATGTATACCTGCAAAGTCACCAATTGTTTGCAACATGCATCCATCCAGTAGCACAAAATCTCAAGGCAAGAAGTATTTGTTGCATTGATGTTATCGCACAGTTCCTAAAAACAACAAATTTAAAACATACTTGTCATTTCATGCAATTTACATTTTGTATAATTACCGGTTAGTTTTCGGTGCTATCTCATTCCGAAATCTTTGCTCTAGCATTACGACCGTATCCTTGCTTAATCTAAATCTGATTCGAAATTCCTCGTCGCTCCAACGGGTGAAATGATCCATTCTTGCTCTAAAATTGCGAGGTGCCCTGGTTCTAGGTTCTTCACTCTCATCAGAATCCGACGATTCGTTACTACTATCTGCCCAAACTAGTCTGCTATGCAAATTTAATTCAGTTTCTGGTGATGATGATGGAGATGCCATTTTTTGACAAATAATTTTGTAACTTCATAAACATAAACACACTAATCACAATTTCGTTATTTGAGGTTAGAATGCCGCTTTAAACCTTCGGTTGACAGTTCAACCTGAGGATAGGTTCGAGTTGACTGAACGAGCGCTCAACCCGCGGTTCAACCTTCGGTTATCGTTTATAATACGTAAAGTGCGGTTTGAGTCGAGTTTGACATTCAACCTCCGGTCAACTAGACATTATAATACTGGCCCTAAGTACATTCAGTTATTGCGCGTAGGGATTTTCGACGCCAAGTGACTATTTCAATCCTGACTTCCTATTGCGCGTTACGTAACGCAAATTAAGTTCGTGGTTTATCTTGATACTTGGACGCTCACTGGGATATTATGTCATTACTCTTGATCTTTGTATGTATAGCCGTAAGGGTTGGTATCTCATTCCTAAAAAAGTATGAATGTACAGTTTGTCTTAACGGCATTTTGCTGTCGCCATTTAGTTGAATGGCCTTTGGTCCCTTCAAATGGAACTTTGCGCTATGTTTTTAAAGCTATCTTCTGAAGGTTCGGGCATGTGTTTCCTAACTAATTGAGTCCATATAGCTTTGCAAACTTGTGGTACGATTGTAGAAATAGCAGATTTTGAAATTCTGAACGAGAAAGCGAGTTGCCGAAATTGTATACCTGTGGCCAAATACCTGAAATAATGCAAAATATTAAGTTATAATTCCTTTTCTTTTTTCAGGTGAAATGACTAAGAAAAAATGGAAAAATTTGAGAGACACGTTTAGTAAAGAATTAAAAAAAATTCCTAAGCCACGTTCTGGGACTGATGCCGATAATGAGCCGAAGTATACAGGCACATGGCCACATTTTGAGGCCATGTCTTTTTTGAAAGTAGTTCTGAAACCCCGACAAACAGAAGGGAATATTATATCAAAAGACTCCGAAAGCAATTCTGTAGATCTGTCAGTGTATTCAGACGCGGCTAGTCCAGAAGAGATTTTAAACATGAACGCATCTGACAATGACAACACCCAGCTCCCTGAATCTGCGTCTATTTTAGAAGAAATACCACAGAACATGTCCATAGATAACAACCTTCGACAAGATCGTCCACCTTCGCCCTCGTTGCCAGGTCCTTCGCCTTCATCCTCGTTGCTGGTGCCTTCCCCTTCGTCCTCGTTGCCAGCTATCACAAGGCAAACACGTAAAAGAAAAGATTTAAGTCTCGAAGCATTTCTCGATATTGAGAGAGAAAAAATGAAAATTCTTCGCGAAGATCAACCAGATAATACTGACGACGACCTTCTTTGGTTCAAATCAATATTACCTTACATGAAACAGTTGACATCACTCAACAAATTACATTTTAGAACGCAGATGCAGGAGCTTCTTCTAATGGAGCTGTCAAAGTTAAACCCACCACCAGTGCTCAACAACCTGGCTATTACACATCTTTGTGAAAGTATTGCAATTATGTACATACTTACTAATTAAACTTAATTAATATTATATGTAATCTCTAACATTTATTTCATAGTTTATTATTTCATAGTTTTCTTACCTCAAAGTCACCATAAGTCGTTCTTCTACAGAAATAGGTTCCTGAAAATTTGTTGTAGTAAATTGCAGAACAGGTTTAATGGCTTGTACAATATAGTCAAACGTAGTAGGTAACATTCGACAATATTCCTTGAACAACAGGGGTTGAGTACGTAAGTCCTGGTACAAATTATGAAATTCCCCATGACTATGCCTTTCTAAGTACACAGTATTAGTTCCACTTCTCTGCTTTATACACTTCTTCAATATCTCATATTTAAGATATGAATTTTCCAACAACATAAGCTTCCGTCCGTCCATGACAAAATGTTTACCCTAACCTAACCTAAATGCTAAACTGAACTGAACGGCGGCGGAGGGCGCGGAGGGGACGGTTCGCGCGCAGACAGGACAGAGTAGCCGCGTCGCTCCGCACCGCATTAAATTCGCATCGGATCGTTTCGCAATCGCGTTCGCGTTGAGTCGTCCACGTAGGACTTGCTGTGTGACAAGAAGCATTATCTCCGTACTGAGTAACGAATAGTAGGAAAGATTCGAAGTACCGAATCGTTACTTTCATAAACATATCGTTACTCGCATGTTTGAAACAGTACCAAAAGATTTATTCAAAAAAATATTATTATGAAGATATTAAACTTATTAAAGTGAATCAACTCGCATAAAATATCAAATAAAAGCTAAGTGATTGCAGAAATATAATAAGATTTAAAATAATGCACAGCATACAGTATATCAGTAACGATTTGAATTACGCGGTTATCGCTATCAGCCAGCATCGATGTTATAGGCAACCTATACAAAGTGACCGAAGGTTTGCCGATGGCGTGTCGGTCTGGCGGGCTGCTAGACGTACGTATGGTATATCCTGTATGATATCGGTGACGGTTCGGATGTCGTTACTTTCGTATGTTTCGGTATTCGTTGGCATCTTTGATGTGATTTGCTCGAACCACTCGAACCGACTTGTGTACTTGATACTTGTGTTTGTTTATGCTGTTGTTACTCTGTTTGTTGCCACTTGGTAGAGTTTTTTGATGGTGTATAACTGAAACTGAATTGCTTTAAATAGGTAAGTTTTAAACACGTGGTATTTATTTTAATAGGATTTGAGGAAGGAATTAGGAGCGTAAATGAAATCTATAAAATAAAAGTACCCACTTAAAAACCTAATGTAAATTATAGTGATTTTTTGTATTATTGTGGAATGACCGTAACCGTGTAAGCAACGAATATAACAAATCTTTTAAAATCAGGGAGAATAATACTTACATAAATGTAGATATGTAGTAAACTGACGGACGATGTTCCTATTTTAATACGTTTTCTTATGTTGTTTCAGTACTTGCTGTTAAAAGTCTCGACTTCATGGAGGGAAAAAGAAGTAAGATTTAGCAGTTTTTTAGCAAAGAAATAGAAAATAAGGTCAAGTGTGATATATGCCAATTTTCGTATTCGATCAAAGGGGGTTCAACAACAAACTTAAAAAACATTTAAAATGACAAAACAATGACAAAACATCGACCGACCTATGATAGCGTATTCTCGTTAAGAATGTTCGCAACTTCAATCTTCTTCAAATGAACCTAAGAGAAAGAAAGAAGCTCAGCAAACCGACATCACATTATTTACTAGAAAACCTCTAAGTGCCGCACGAGAGAAAACAATTAATCATTTGATTTTGAAATTAATAATTAGGGATCTGCAAGCTTTCTTTATCGTGGAAGATTCAGGTTTTATTGAGTTAATCAATTATCTTGAACCAAATTATCCAATTCCTTCGCGATATATGCTTAGTAGAGGTTTGCTGGATGCGCAATTCACGCTGGTGAAAGAAAAATTAAAAGACGAGTTGAAAAGTACATCACATATACTATATGTTTAACGACAGACGGATGGACTTCTCGTGCTACAACTTCTTATCAGGCGGTAACAGCACATTACATTTTAGGAGATATTTGGGAAATGCGTTCCGCCCTCTTGGGTTGTTTCGAATGTCAAGAGCGACATACGGCCGATTACATAAAACAGGAGTTGATAAATCTTGTGACTGATTGGGAGATCAATGATAAAATATTTGTTTGCGTAACAGACAATGCATCAAATATGAAGGCTGCTATTCGGCTGACAGGGTGGGAACATTTTCCATGTGTTGCCCACACTTTCAACCTAATAGTTCGGGCAAGTCTTGAGACAATACAAGAACCTATAAAAAAAGTAAAATGCATTGTAGAATATTTTCATAGAAGCTCTATTGCCACAAAAAAGCTGTGTGCCGTGCAAGAACAACTAAAACCTGGACAAAAACCCCTGAAACTTATAATGGACGTTATAACTCGTTGGAACAGCACGTTAGATATGTTAGAAAGAGTTGCAAATCTACAAGAGCCTATAGAAGCTGCAATAGGTTTGTTGCATAATCCAGTTGAAAACCTATCAGAAAACGAATGGCGGATTCTTCCAGAAGTTGTAGAAATATTAAAACCATTCAAACAACTTACTGAGGAATTTTCGTCTGAAAACGAAGTGACTATTTCAAAAATTTCGGCAGGAAATTCCAGCGTCTTACGAATACTCAATAACTTGAATAACACTCTGACTTGTGATTTGTCCAAACAATTAGTCTCTAAACTGAAAGCCGAATTTAATATCAGGTTCAAAAATAGCTTGCGACACCAAGTTCTATCAAAAGCTGCGATTTTAGACCCTAGGTTTAAGAGACAAGCTTTTGCTGACGATTCATGCTATGAGTATGCAAAAAACTCTGTGAAAGAAGAATTGGAAAGGATGGCAAAACCATCGTTTGTGAATGAATCCGAAAGCGAAGATACAGATTCTCCTATGTTTGACGACCAAGAAGACTCTATTTGGCTAGGGTGTTATAGAAGAACAACAACCATGAGTACTACAGCATCAAAGGCATCTGCCAGTATAATTACCTTTAGCCAGTATATGGAAGAAAAGCTTTTATTTAGAAAAGAAAATCCACTTAAATGGTGGCACGCGCGAACACCTTTATATCCAAAATTGTCTAATTTAGCACAAAAATACTTATGTGTGATCGCTACATCGGTGCCATCGGAAAGAAAATTTTCCAAGTGGGGGCAAATATTATCAGACAAACGTGCCTCGTTGAAACCGAAACGCGTTGAAAAAATTCTCTTTTTACGTATGAACCAAAGACTATTGGTATAAAAGTGGTTTTTCTTAGTTTCTAGTTCATTTTGTGTTAACCAAGATAGGTAATAAATATTTTAGTTTTGTTGAATATTTTTAGGATTTCTTTTTATACTTTGTTTTTGTTCAAGAATGCGTTTTTATTTGCATGTTATTTTAAATGATCTATGTTTCGCTGTCTTTTTTAAATACTCTTGTTAAACATTACCTATATTATGTTATGTTATAAATCATAAATTAAAAAAAAAGTTTCTTTATTCATATTGCAGTTACATTTCTTTTCCTTTCCCAACTTATTTACAACTACATCAATATTTATTGTAATTCAGTTATGGTATGAATGAATGAATGTGCCGACGATTACCACGCACGCATATACAAGCGGTATTTAAATTGGTTCTATATTATTCTAGCACCCAAGTATCGAAAGTAACGAGTAACGAATATTAGTAACGAGTCGTCAATCTAAAAGTAACGAATACATACGGGTAGCGAACAAATCGGTACTTTTACAGGCCTACGTAGGACACAGCGTAAGGGCTTAGAATACCACCCTGTCCTAGCCTGATGCCTCTCGACAGCCGTTCCGTCGCCCGGCGTCGGTCAGCATCTCATCACGCCTATGAGTCATTACAGTGTTAGATAGTTACAGTATGGTTCCAAAGCGGCGAACAGATCGCTATGCCTGTCATTCACTGATGTACAAATACAAAATACTGCATACGAAGTATCTGGAATACAAGATACTTTTAAAATAAGTGCTTCAGATACCAGATAGAAGAACTTTCTGGAATGATATCTGAAATACTAGATACAAAATATGTACATATCACTTAAATACTTTTTAAAGATAAAATGCTTTTGTAAGAAAAAGGCATATTATTGAATTTATTTTATTAATGTTCAGCCGTTGATTACACAAATGTGACGAAATAACATACTTCAAAGGTTTTAATTGAGACAAGTAGAACCAGTTCTTAAAACTTTTTATCGCTCATTTTTCATCTCTCCACTGGGGCAAACATAGTATTTAAGTACATACGTATCTAAATACAAGATATAAATACAACTTTGAAACGAAAATACGTATTTTGCATCGTGTATTTGTGTTCTAGAAACTTGTATCTTCAATAAGTTACATCTCCGCTGTCATTCTGCAGTTACGTAATAAGAGTGCCGATTCCATTAGAAAAAAATGTTCAAAGATCCGCCATCTTAATATTTCCAACTGGCGCTTTTACCACAGATTAACGTATCCTACCTAAACATGCCAACCTAATTCCATATTCGCGCGTTCGAGTTGCAATGAGATACCGTAGCGCCATCTGTGAGAATTTGTGATTGCTATCCCTCTCCTCTCCGCAATAATTAGAAGTCTACTCTTAAAAGGCTATAGGTTAGTGTCTCATAGTTGGTCCTGTAGCCAACTATATACGAACATTTAGCTACAGCGCCATCAACAAGATACCAACCTTTTCAAAGTAGATTCCTAATTATTGCGAAGAGCAGAAACATACCTGTGAGAAGATTTCATAGATGACACTACGATATCTCATGACATCGCGGATGATTATTCGGGTTAATCAATGCTTTCACGCTAAAATATGATGCTCATGCATCAACTTCGCCACCTCGATTTTCAGACTGCTAATTTAACCTGTACATTTTTTTTTTGAAGAACACTGTATAAACTATCTGAGCTTACCGTCACCACAATCGTCCACAGTATACTCGCCAGTATAATCCATAGCCTTCCTGGATCATCACTGACAAACAGTGAAAAAACAATTGCTCTATGTATACTAAAAACAGCCATAGCCATAGTGAACAACACTGCAAAGAATATGGTCAACCCAAAAACGTCATTGAATTCTTGCACAAGGTCTGCCAAGTGATTGTATCGTTTCCTTAATTTCAAAATCAGTTGAACTTTTTCATCTCTTTCTGATGTGTCTGATTCTGTGGAGTAGCTTTGAAGGCAAACGTTGAGCTCTTCGAACATTATTTTGAATTTGTGGGCTACGATGATCACCAAGTAAACTGCTATAGTCTGCACGTACCTATAATATTAGATACAGAATAGATGCAACATCAATCTGATGCATATACATACATGGTGATTGGTGGCAACATTTCTAGAGTAGAAAGCAGGTTCAAAAATAACACGAGGATCTCTTATAAATATGGATCCTAAGATGTTACTTCAATGAGATGCAGGGAGTATCAATTTTGAAATTAAAAAAAAATTATCTTCGGAGTGTGTTAAGATATTGACTTGAAATGTAGGTACATACAGTATTAAGAGCAGAGAGCATTTTCATTTTTAGAAACATGATATGTAGAAATGAAACCGGAATTAAATCTAATTATTATATTATACAGTTATTATATGCGAATTTGAACGATGCTCACTCACATGATTGCCAAATAAAACTTAAATGCACTGTACGCGTCTAGAGTGGGGGCTTGTCCCCATGCCCTTTCCCTAAATGCGCCTGATTTATTTGTTGTTCAGTCGCTAAAAAGCTTAATAAATGTCATTTGGAACTTTGTTGCAAATCTGGCAACATTGTGTCTCCCCAGAAGGAACATTGTTTTTATATTAGGTCAATATTTATATTTTGGAACTAGCATTTCAATCAAACACCAATATCTGCCCTATATTGGCTAATCTTTGCAAAATACAACATTTGGTTTTCGTGGTGTGCTACTTGGGGCGGTGTTGCCGGGTTTCGTCTCGCACCTTTTACTGCGATTGAAGCTAGTGTTGCCAAACCTACCGATGTTTCCGTGTTTTTACCGAAATAAGACCTTATCGACATACCAAAAACGTCCTCATTTTCCAAGATTCTGCAAAGTAATTCAAATAATTCGAGATTTTATACTAAAAGACAGCTGAAACCAAAAATAAAGCGAAACAAAATGAGTTAGATCTAGTCTATGTAGTTTTATCTAATCTTACATATGCGTGCACTTAGGCAATCGGCCACACGAGCAAATTAAATTTGGGTTGCCTATAATTATGTACGCACTTCCCTCACTCTGCATTTCCTAAATCAGTTTTTGTGCGTACAATAGATCGATAGATCACCGTCACTACCGCATCACCGGAGGAGCAGTAAAGAAACCAAGGCTCGCCTGTTTTTAATTGAATATTAATGAAATGTCGAGTAATGAGGCTTCAATTTCGGAAAAGGAGTTTTCAGGATGGTTGCAAAGCAGTTTGAAGAGTGGCCAGTATGCTCATTCTACAAGCTGTAATAAAGATATTGATACTCTTTCAGGAAAATATGCCCTTAAAAACTGTGTTGTTTGTGCGCGGGCAATATACGACTTTCATAGACGGTATCGGTACAGCGTATCGCAATAGCCCTTGATCCACCGCTGATCTTGCGATTGTCGTGATTTTTCCTCTTACCGATTTTGTCTTTGAATCAGCCGAATTTCAACACACATGGCAACAATGTCTGGAGCTCCTTGGGAACTATATTCTCGATCAACTATCGTGATTTCTTCTTTAGAAATACTGCCATCGAATTGTAAATCACCCTAAAGGTACTTACCACTGCATGTCTCTAAGTATGTAGTATTTCACAATTCTTGCTCCGGGAAGTAAGCCGATAGACATACTCAAACTAGCATCGCCCACAAGGTTAGTCGCGATAAAAACTATATGCACCAAAACAAAACCAACCATAATCTTACGATTATTCTCTTTGATGCTCGTTAACTGCAAATGCTGCAAAAGATTCGTTGCTAGACGGCATTTGGAAGCTATGCACAATGTTGAAGACGTGATTAAAGCCATAGTGACTCCATCCAAAATTCGTACAGTGAAAATCATAGTTTTGAAGTTAGGGTTTGTTAGTTGTCCGAATATGTAGAATAATACACTAGCTAGACTTAAAACGATCCAGGTATAGGTATAAAGAGTGTAGGCTAAGCTATGTTTATAGTTTTCGCCTGGAACTATTACCAGAACTTTACACAGTTTCAAAAGCAGCGCGATACACATGTTGGCGGTTAGACCAAACTAGAGTGAATCTTTGTACATATATTTTGTTAATTTGGAAAACCTTTACAGGAAAGTATCGTTATCTGGATTATCAAAGCATAATGTACCGATTATAAAAGCATTTTCTGGTTAACAAGAAAAACTGTGTTCGATTATTTGTGGGTGATGGTGCCTTGTGTAGCTACACTTCTGAATAAAAGTAGCTCATAAAGAAAAACCTTATATTTTCTATCTCAAATTATAAATTATGATCCTTCACGCAGTTATACAGGGTGTCCCAGAATGTGTGAATCAAATTGCAATGGGAGATACCTTAGATAATGACCTCTCAATTGCGGTAAAGACCTGACCAAAAAAACCTGTAACCTTTGCGTGAAAACAAAAAATCAGTTTTTTTGAAAAAGTATGACTTTCGTCAAACTTTCGACGACAGGTGCCGCTTTTAGGTTTGATTTTCATTTTTTTTTTCACTATTATTATTAGCGAATGATTGAAGCATGAAACAATTTTATTCTAAAAGTCACGTAATTTTGAAACCGCAGCGCTATTTTGGAATTTTTTTTCTGCACCAAAAAGTTTCTTGTAAGTTCGACTAACAGTGGTATAAGAAAAATGTATGGGACTTGTTTGGCAAACCTCTCCGAAAAATAGCCCAGTTAATGAAGATTCGAAAATGGTACAAATCAGGTAATTTACCTCAACAGAGTAGGAGAATAAAAATTCTTAGAGTGCAAGGGCGTAATGGGTCGAATTTCAGAATTACACTTTTCAAATCATAATTGCTTTTCACGTTGATCGAATGTTCAAACTATTGTTACACAGCTCAATACTTGTTTAAAAAAGTATAAGAATCAAAAACTGGTGTTTCAATGTAAGGTAAACTTAAGAAAACACAGAAAAGTACTTTCAATTTTCAACTTTAATCAACCAAAAACATCAATAAAGAAGTAACCAATTACGATTCTCATAAAAGATGTTCTAAGTGTCTGCCACCAGTACGAATGCACAATGCACATCTCAAAAAATTTTGTTTTAGGCGCCGCAAGCTCATAACAGAAATTTGTTGTGCAGCCTGGTTAATACGCTCTCTTAATTCTTCCAGGGATCCAATCGGTGTGTTCGGTTGCGAATAAATTTTATCTTTGAGGCAACCTCAATAAAAGAAATCTAGAGGGTTTAGGTCTGGCGACCTTGGTGGCCATAGAATTGGCCCCAGACGGCCAATCCACCGCCTAGGAAAAGCCTCATCAAGGTAGGCCCTCACTTCACGTGCAAAATGGGCTGGGCATCCGTCATTTTGTAGCCACATTGGTTGTATTGAATCCTCTGGTTCTTCTGCTAAAAGTCTCGGCAATGTGTCTCTCAATAGTTCTAAATGATTTGCCGAATTTAATGTTGCAGGTAATTCCACTGGACCCACAATTCTGCCGTTAAAAATCCCAGTCCATAAATTGATTTTGAACCGGTACTGAGAACGGTCCTCTCTTATTAAATGAGGGTTTGATATTTGCCAGCTATGTAGATTGTGGAGATTTGTGTAGCCATCTTTCTTACATGTGGATTCGTCACTCCACAAAACTCGATTAAAAAAGTTGGGGTCTTCTCGACTTAGCTCGATCATTTTTCGGCAAAATTGTACACGCGGTGCATAATCTCTATTTAAAAGAGACTGCACTTTTTGCACGTGATACGGATGGTATCTCACGTTTGCAGTATTCGGTGTGCCGATGATCTTGGAATACCAGTTCTTCGTTCAATAGCGCGCAGCGACGTCGACGGATCCGTTGTTACGTGCTCTACAACAACATCGTCGTTATGTCTCCGAGGTCTTCCTTCACTACGAGGACCACCAGGAAATCTAACCTGTGAGTAAGCGTTGTGTACTCTTAAAAATACTCCATAAGCTGGGTGCTGACGGTTCGGATACCGCTCAGCGTAAATCCTGGCAGCTTCCCTGGCAGAATAACTTGCTCCACCTCTAGTGTTAACACGCCTTGTTTCTCCATAAACAAGATGCATGTCAGCATACTCGCTTGCCGTGTAACAATGTTCATTTGGTCGTCGATTAGCCATAATGTGCAGAAAATCAATTTCCACAGTAGCGCCAAGTCGTTGAGATTCATCAAACAAATCCGAATCACGAGCAAAAAATGTTCAAAGTCTACAGTAGAGCCAAGATCGTAACAGTTAAATCACAGGAGACATTAGAACACAGGTGTAGCACAGAGCGTCAAACTTCGTACTGAATAAAAAGGATGAGAGTGAGATCAGCATCGCGCCGCCGCGGGGCGCCCCGTTCCGTCAACATCACTAATAACACAAAACGCTAGAGTGAGACAGTATTGTTATCGCGATCCAGTTTTTACCTGTGCTGCCTACCCCTGCCCCCCTTCTAAATTCTGGGAATAAGTGCGACAACACAAATAATTTTAGCCGACCTTGAGCGAGCTAGCATGTGTTTTGTTCAGTCTACCGGACATTGAAATAACTTTTTGATACCGATTCTAAGCTTTCACGCAATGGTTTGAACGTACAGGCAATTATGATTTAAAAATTGTAATTTTGAAATTTGACCAATTTCGCCCTTGCGCTCTAAGAATTTTTATTTTCCTACTCTGTTGAGGTAAATTACCTGATTTGTACCATTTTCGAATCTTCATTCACTGGGCTATTTTTCGGAGAGGTTTGCCAAACAAGTCCCATACATTTTTCTTATACCACTGTTGTCGAGCTTACAAGAAACTTTTTGGTGCAGAAAAATGAAAATAAACCCTAAACGCGGCACCTGTCGTCGAAAGTTTGAAGAAAGTCGTACTTTTTCAAAAAAACTGATTTTTTGTTTTAACAACACGTTTTTTTTTTGTCAGGTCTGCACCGCAATTGAGAGGTCATTATCTAACGTATCTCCCATTGCAATTTGATTCACATATTCTGTGACACCCTGTAGGTACATAACAAAGAATACAAAGTTACTAGTAGAAGGGGCACTCGCGAAAAAACATTTGATCTTCAAACTCCTAAAGATGACGACATTTTTCTAGGAACTCGAATCCTTTTTTTAGGTGCCTCACTTGGAAAGGTCACGCACGTTTTTATTGGTTTATACCGAGTTCCTAGTGCTGCCATGGAATAGGCTGTCAAATAATTGTTTTTAATAGCATCAAGAAATTGTATTTATACAGGGTGATTCATGTCACTATTGTTTTTATAGCATGGACTATGGATGATAAATATCCTTTTCTTAAAAAAATGCGAGTTGAAAAATAGTTTTTAGTATTTCCATCAGTGACTGGCGATGATTCATCTGTAGTACTAGCTTATTTGTCATTCCGTAACCTCAGTAACTACTATACCGATTTTGTCGAAAGTTGAAATACACTGTATGGTCACACGTTTGAAAATAGGTGTAAATAGGAGTAAAAAACAAATGTTCTTTTTTTAATTTACGTATATGTAGATAAGGTGAACAACTGAATTAAATAATAGAAAGCAATATGAAAGAAATGAAATGAGACTTCTGTAAACTACAAAGGATATGATATGAATGCCACTGCAGTAACTTTCGTTAGTAATCAAGCCTCCAAATTGATCATAGGTTATTTTGGAAATTATTAGTAAAACTACATATATTTTTGTGACACCGCGTTTTTGACACTGGTATACTCATGAATCATATATACATTTTGGATGAATCTCTTTCGTCAATTAGACTTCTTCTCTTGTTCTCTAGTTTCAAACAACGCATGATTCCATATAAATGTTGCCTAAGATCATTAACAAGGCATCGGAGCATCATTCCCCTCCTTTATTTTGCATCCAGGCACATAGCACCAACTTATCATACTGATGCTTGATGATTATATTTTCGGATTATCTCATTCAAAGAAGACCCCTTTTAATGAATCTCATTATGCTAGAAGTAAATTGCGTAAAAAATGTGTTTCTCTTTTAGGGTTGTGCAGAAAACCTAATCAATATATTTTTCGAACAGATAGGAGCATACTTCCTGGACTTTTACCGCAGATAATAAATGGGTGATCGCATCCAAATGGTAGGTAGCATTTCAGACCCAGAGGTAACATCTCAACCACTGCGGCAGAATCTGTTTTTTCAATGGAGTGGTTCTTCAACTGGGTACTCTGAATTCTTTATAAGGGACGAAGTACTGGAGGCGGACCCGCTCAGTAAGCGTCAATATGTATATCAACCACGAAAATCAGCATATTTGTCTCTCGTTGACTTGAACAGGATGCTATGTAAGGCTTTAGCGGACAAGGAGATAGCGGAGGCAACCTTTCTAGACATAGAAGCACCACACGGGATTCCAACCTGAAAAATAGTACTACGGGGTGGGCCAAAAGTTCCTGACTCCGCAGCATTATTCGGTGTTTTCAAACCCAGGGTTCTGTATCGGACCTTCCCCGAACTGGACGACCACGTTTAGCTTTCACTGGAGAAAACATAGAGAGAGTAGACGAACGTGTTCAGGAGGACCCCGAAACATCGACCATAAGAAGGTCAACTCAATTAGGCCTCTCCAGGATATCTCTCAGAAGAATTTTGAAACATTAGCGGATGTTTCCTTACAAAATTCAAATGGTTCAGCACTTACGACCACAAGATTATGCACAACGACTAAATTATGCCATTCGTTTTCAGCAATTGGTTAGAGAGGAAGAAAATTTTTAAAATGGTCTAATAATGACTGATGAGGCGCATTTTCATCTGAATGGTTTTGTGAATACGCAAAATGCAAGAATTTGGGGAAGACAAAATCCAAGGGCCGTACACGAGAGAGAATTGCACCCCTTTAAATGTACAGTTTGGTGTGGTGTTACCACCCAGGGTATTATTGGGCCTTATTTCTTTCAAAATGACGATGGAACTGCGGTGACTGTTACTAGCGAGAGGTATAGAGCTATGCTTGAAAATTTTTTGATTCCAGCGCTTGAAAATAGACCTGATATGTGGTTCCAACAGGATGGAGCCGCAGCTCTTACAGCTGGAGCCAC